AACGGAATCACGACCCATGATGTAAACGCAAAAACCAGAATAAAGAATCACTTCACTTAATTAGGTTACTAACTGAAAATCTATTAGGAAAAATGAACTTAAAATCTCGTAAAGAACATGTCTACAGGAAAAATTTTGGGCACCAGAGTATGTAATAAAGAATCACTTCACTTAATTAGGTTACTAACTTGGTCAAAAAAATCCAGCAAGAGATGGATTTTGAAAAAAGTTTCAGGTGCTGTTCTAATCAAAGATGGCACTAACTGAAAACCTAGTCAAATTAACTCCAGACCCAACGCACTTTAAGGAGAGAAGAACAAAAAAGCACCAAAAACAACTACAAAGATCGTCCTCATGTTGAAACATTGAATTAAATTACAAAAGGAAAGGGAAAACCTCATATCTTGAAATTCAAAGCATAAAACGAACCAAAAAAGTATGACCTGTGAATTCATTCGATTGGAATTTAAGCTACACAACCAAGGATATACTAGGATTGCGTGAAATTACGAGAAAAATCAAGCGAAACGCAAAATAAACCTCTAAATCCATTAGAAACAAAGCATGACAAAACCAAATATATGAGTCAGAATGCATGACGAGCGTGAAAATGTTCAAACCGTGAAAACAAAGGGTAGAGGAAGAGACTTACATCTGAGTTGATGAGTGAACGCGGCGGCTCTGAAACCCTAGCAAAGAGAGGGGGAGAGAAAAAGAGAACATGAATTTGAGAAATCTCACTTGGTTATCTTTATCTTGGACTTGCACATGCCCTCGACAAATTCAAGAATCGTTAAAAAGGCGATTTGAGAGCACTGTATATTCTATTTGGATTCAAGATAGGAAACTAGCCCTTTTTATTGACGCGATATCCATCCCGCCCAAAAAATTTTCAATTAAATTAGATAATGGGAAATTTCACCTTGTTGCTCAATCAGATAACATTCAAAGGTTTTCTAGTTACAATCTTCACGTTCTTTAAAAGGGTCGCCGAAAAGCTCAAACCTTAGGGTTTGAAAATTTGAGTTACTCTAAGTGACATTATGTTTTGGCGTTACCGAACCGAACCAAAGAAATCCAAACCGGCAAAACGAAGGTTATTTTTTCATTATCCGAACAGAATAGAAAAGTGCATGAAATTTCGGTTTGGTTCTGATTTCGATTCTGACACCCCCAGTGCCAACACCTATACATGTGCCCAGCGAATACTCTCTATTCTCTAACAAAGTCTTTAACTTGATTAATCTGAGAAAGACAATTAAGAGAGAGTGCTGCAAAGAAAAATTATGGCTTCTGCTATTGCTTCCCCTCTTTCGTCGGGGTCCAATTCTCACTGTAAGCTAGTGGCTCTAGAGATGTTTGCTGAACTCTCTCTCTTACCGTGAGTGTCTACCCACTACACCCCTCGCCTTGCCACCACGGACTTGATGTTCTTGAAAGCTCCCAATTCATGCATGTCCTGTGAGCGCATACCATCAGTACCAGGTGTCGCTGGAAGAACATCAGCTCAACTAATAATCTTCCTGCAGGTCCCAGTTAATAGACATGATGTTTGAGTCTCTTCATGGCCAAGTCCTTGTTGCATAATTAATGACAAAGTGTTTATTTAGATTCAGCATCAATGTTGGACATGGATCTACTCTACATAAGATCATAGCATGCTAGAAATGTCACCGTGCGCATCATTACACCAAGGCTATCTACATAAAGATTGTGTTGCACAATCTTTGAACTGTCGTAGGTCGCTAAATGTGTAATTGTTGCAGCACATATACACGAGATCACTAGATTTGTTTTTTGAAAAAATATATATTACTTCCACTTATTATATGTTTAAGTTATAAGCGGAAAAAATAATTAAAATTGACTTGAGCAAATAAAGTAATATGTTTCGTTCTTTATTTTTTTTTACGAGCTTTATTTTATTACTAGCATATTTTTTTATTTATTAATTTACCTTTTCAATTTGACATAAAACTTTATCCAAACAACATATTCAAATGAAGAGGTTAAAGTGGATAAAATAGATGGGTATGCATTTTCATAAATTGGTTTAATTGTGTATGCGTTTTAGTAATATGGTTTGAGTAGCTAGGGTTTTGGTCAGGTTGGGTATGGGTTGCTAAAATTGCATTGCAGTATGGGTTATATGGGTCAATTTAGGTCTAACAAATTTCAATCCGACCCAAACTGGCCCGACCCACCCATTTGCCGGCCTACTTAGGACAAATGAACTCAATATTACGAACGTCGGAAAATTCCAGCCTTGATACGGTATGGTGCCAAGCCTTGCATTGCAGCCTTATTTTCTCCTCTCTCTTTTTTTAAAAAAATTATTTAATTTCTATTGTGGTACATAAATATCACAAATTCTTTTACCAAAGCTATGTGCATAACGTGGAAAGTGGAAAAGATTTAATTAAATATCATCATCAATCTAATCAATCAAAAGGGGTTGTTCCCTTCTGTTCAAAGCTCGAGTTCGAATCGCCATATACTTGATGCATTCTCCCGTAGATGCCCTTACGATCGTGGACCTCGTGGGACTGGAAAATGATGTCACACCTCGAAAACAACTAGAAAATGGGGATGATACGGCCGTCTTTCCACACGAAAGACGCAGCCTCAACAATAACCAACAACCTGCTATCAACAACCTATATATATATATATATATATATATATATATATATATATATATCTCAAACCACATATATATTATATAAACCAACAGATTGGTTATAACATCAGAGTTTTTATAATCCACCAAAAGAACATGTACATCAAGAACTCAGCCAACCCGACGAACTATCAATAACCTTACATACAACTCCCAAAAATCATACCCAAAATCTAACTCCCAAAAGTCCCCGCGATAGCACTTTCGTACTAATGGCAGTTAGCCGAGGAACTTGAAAAGATTGGGAAAGAGAGGGATGAGCAACTACAGCCCAATGAATAGTACATATCTTTTAAGTAGATCGAGCAATCACTATCATGTGTACAAAGCAATACCAAAACTTCAAAAGCTAAACTTAAGGTTTAAAATACATATAAAATCACATAAGAGTTGTTTCATTTCATCAAAGCTTTGTACAAGACACAAATACACATTTAAATCCACCATCACAACTCAAACTATCAATGGTCAAGTCCATTGATCAATCTCTATAAAAACCATGTCAATGGTTCATTCCATTGACTAATCTATTGCTCAATTACTACCATGGTCATGACACAAAGCCTGGTGACAAGGCGACCAAGATTCCCCCCTTGACAAGGTCTCCACCTACAAAACTGGTGGTTTGGCCCAGAAGAATATCCTAAACCAGTATGCATACCCCAAAACCCCTACCCGAGTTCACAGTCATGTTGAGCATCAAATAATCATAATCCAATATCAGAAATCCATTCCAGAATACATTCCACCAACCAAACAAATAACTTTCTCACAACACAGCTCATCCACCAGAAATACATTTCGTGGAGCATTTCTTGAATTATTTCCGAACTCAATTCATAAACTAGTTCGTAACACGATACACATATGAATTCTTTCATAATATATTTCCAAAAACGATTCCCAAATCATTCTTAAATACTAAAAAGTAGTAAATGCTCGATCCCGATTTATACAACAAAATGTTTTTTTAAGTTCAATATATATATATATATATATATATATATATATATATCTATATCGAATCATAATTTCTTCGAGACCTGATTTTTACAAAACCAAAGAAGAGATAGTATCACTCACCTGGGAATACCCGAAAGCAACAACACGCAGCTAAACGAGTCGACGATCTCGCAATCCTAACAATTAAACGAGAATCAACGTCAAAATCAAGTAAAATACTACGATAACTACGAAACGGCTATAGTAAGCTTAAACGCTAACAAAAAGACTCCTACGCGCTAACAAAACTCACAACCGAAGCGGATATTCAAAATTATCTGCAATGAGGAACTTGATCGTGAAACTTGATCGCGCCGTAATTCTCTCCAACAAACTCTGATTATAACTCAGACCAAAAAAAAAAAAACTCTGATTATAACAAACTTATAGTCAAAAGAAAGCCCGTTCAGACTATTACAAAAGCCCCAGCTTGGTCGCCCCAAAATAGAGCCGACTCCCGATCGCGTGTGGGGCCACAGCGAGGGCGCTATGCTCGTAAGGGATAGAGAGTGTGACAGCCCAGGCGGTGGTGCGCGGGGAGGAGGGATGGCGGTGCGTCCACACCTCGGTCGTTGGACGTGCGCAGGGAAGGGAGGGGGAGCCTCTCTTGTCCCACATCGCCTAGGCCTAAGGGGGAGTTCTGGACTAGCTTATAAGATTTGGGGTTCTATATCTGTGCAACACGTTTTAAGGCCGTGAGGGTCAATGCGCCCAAAGCGGAGAATATTATACAGTATAGACCCGGGATGTTACAGATGAAATCGGGCAGAGCAGACCATACCATTTATAGTTCAGGTACATATTGATAGGTTCCATGAACCAAAGCCATTGTTTTCGATATCTAAATTCAACTAAGTTAATTTCAATTCCATCCCAATAGATGGATTCCAAAACCAGAGTAAAATGAAGATGAAAATCCGAGCTCCACCTCTTTCGCTTGGTAGAAATGCGAACCACCCCTTGAAGTTCGAAGGCTCAGTCCTATCTCTCGTTATGAGATTCGGAACGTCATGGAATGGAGGAATCTCCGGCGTAAACCTTGCAAATTATTCAGCACTCCGCCAAGATGATACACGGAATAGTCAAGTGAATCCGCCGCAACCAGCTTGAGCCAACTTCGAAGGAGAAAATAAACAAGTAGAGGAGTGTTTGTTGCTGCCGAGAGATAAAAGATGAGATGCCGACGAAACTGTGAACTTGAAATGCATTTTGAAGAGGGGCGCAACCCATCAAGAAGCGAAAGCATGCAAAAACACAATGCATACAAAACGCCAACACCAATAGGATGACTCCAATAAATGCAGCTGAAAACATAAAGCATCACCATCCTCTTTAATCTTCATAACATTGGAATAATTCAATTCAAAATTTCATAAGCAAAGGCATATCCAGTGACATTGTTCCGAAAAGACAACCATAATGAAAACAAAAGCTACTACTCGCACTTCGAGACTTTGCAATTCAACTCAACGGTTGGACTTGGCAACTCTCTCTATCTCGTCTTTCTTCTTGATGGCATAGCTGCGGAAGAATTAACTTAGAAAAAGTGCACATGACCAAAGTAAAATAATTATAAGCAGAAAGTTTAACAGCAAAAGGGTCAGCCTCGTGAGGAAGACAAAAAAATTGGGCATCGGTTACCTGTTGGATGAACCCTTAGCAGCATTAAGAAGTTCATCAGCCAGACACTCGGCGATTGTCTTGATGTTCCTGAAAGCTGACTCCCTAGCACCAGTCATCAGCAGATAGATTGCCTGATTCACACGTCGCAAGGGGGAGATATCAACAGCCTGACACCTCACAACACCAGCTGACCCAATACGAGTAGCATCTTCCTGAGGACCACTGCAATCAGAGAACATAATTTATATAAGTGAAACTAGGATAATACAACGATAGTGCGACTTTCAATTTGTAAGCTACTTTTTCTCATTAATATCAAGCCTTTCCAACTAATCCAACAAAACTATGTTGACCCACTAGGAGTGAGTGAGCAGCACTCTTAACAACCTTGGACAAGCAATATTAGTTAGACACTTCCTTGATACGCACCTGTTGATGACAGCGTCAACAATAACTTGGATTGGGTTTTGATCTGTGAGCAGGTGAATGATTTCCATGGCATGTTTCACAATTCTGACAGCCATCAATATCTTCCCATTGTTTCTCCCGGGCATCATCAGGGAGAAGTTTGTGAGCCTCTCCACAATTGGACATTCAGCTTTCCTGAAGAGCTTGACTGAGTACCTACCAGCAGTGTGGGGAACTTATGTGGCGTGCTTGGCAGGTTGGACAGCAATGTAATCATTCAGTGAGAGGTCATTCACCTAAAGAGCAACAAATGGAATTGTCAAAATAATGTTAAAATCGAAAAACTCAATCATAGTGTTTATGCTTCCACATTTTGGAAAGCATGCTTTACAGATTCCACGGTAACTCTCGTCAGTGTTTTAAAAATAAAAGGAAAATTTTCAAATAAAGGTTTGAAGTGCCATTATTTTCTCAAATAAGAGCCTGAACATGCTTTAGATATAGATTCCACAACAACTCTCGTCAGTGTTTTGAAAATAAAAGGAAAATTTCCAAATAAAGGTTTAAAGGGCAACTATCGTTGAAGTGGACCTTATTTCAAATAAGGGCCTGAAGTGGCCATGTCAATCTTAAAGAAGGGCCTAACCTCACCGGCTAGTCAATGGCATTTTTGTCCTTTATTTTTATGATTTTTTTTCCTTTTTTTCTTTTTTCCATAAAATAGATAAACTCAAAAAAGAAAGAAACGGCTAAAACTTAAAAACACACACACACACAAATAAATAAAAACCCCAGGCCCTTCCTTTGTGGCCGCCGATCGCTGGTTGGGCATCGGCGATGGTCAACAACCCTCGCTCAGACCTAAGAGAGGGTTGTGGCCTTATCCCGATTCTCACAAGGGTCGTTGGCCCTCGCCGAGGCGCCAGTGACCCCGCTGGCCATCGCTGACGCCCCAACGGCGATGGGGCGGCGACCACAGGCAATAGGGCTGGGGCAACCTCCTCGCCTATTTTTTTTTTCTTTTTTAAAAACTTTTAGTTTTCTCAATTTTTAATTTAATTTAACTAAAATTTAGGTTAAAATTGTTTTTGGACGAAAATGTCCTTGACCAGCCGGCAAGGTCAAGCTCTTATTTGAAACTGTCATTGCCACTCCATGCCCTTATTTGAGAAAATGATGACACTTCATACCTTTATTTGGAATTTTCCCAAAATAAAATGAAATGATCCTATTAGATTTGAAAACATAAAATCTAACAAATTTAGGCCAAACAAACGAAACTAGAAGTCACTGAGTGAAGAGGAATACTTCTTCGACAAAAAAAAAAGAAAGAGGAATACTTCGAACACTTAAAGGGAACCTTTAGCTAAAAGAAACATACTGAAGGATAAACAAGAATTCTACTAATCAGCATAATAAAGAGACATGAAAAACCCAAGAGTCTCCGACGGATATCAGAAATTGTTACTTTTCTTCCAAAAATTACCTTATCATATTTTTCGACCCATCTTGGATTTTGTTCGTTGGAGGAAGGGTAATTACGCTTCTAGGGTAGCCTAAGATACCAATTGAGGGTTTTAAAAGTTAAGGATGTAGAGTAGTATATATATATGTGTGTGTGTGTGTGTGTGTGTGTGTGTGTGTGTGTGTGTGTGGGGGGGGGCAGCAAATTGTGAGGTTTTTGACATGAAAAACAACACTAACAAAGAAAGTTCACGTCAAAAGAAGCGTTATCTATTTCTCTTGCTCCCATCCTCCCAATCGCATCCTTGGATCGTAGTTAGTGAATTGACGAAACTCATTCCCGAGCTTGGTCAAATGCTTAGGCCCTTACCAGGTACGGAGGATCTGCAACTATAACTTGGTAAGCATGCTTCATTTCAGTTGGCAACTCTCCCGGTTGGTTGTAGTCATAAAACGGGAAGTCACTTTCGTATTGTTCAAAACGTTTGTCGCACTCGAGCAGTTGCACGGAGACACTGGGATCAATTCTCTGAGATGATACCACAAATAAGTAACTTCAAAGACCTTTCACATAATGACAAGCCAATGACATGCGCACTTCATAATCTGAGAAACGAGTGTTGATGAAAAGAGTAAACACATTCCACCAATAGTTGATAAGAGCGCTACTATAAATATTCTCATTATGCCCGGATCTTCTCTCAGACGTTAAAGCTGGCCTAAATCATACGTTTGACAGGCACACGAAATATATTACTTGTACTACAACAAATGGCATAACGCAACACATATCGATTGTTCGCACATTTTACAAAATTATCTTCCCATTTGATAGTTGACAAGACACCACAAACCCACCTACTACTTACATTATATAAAAGGGTTAATACTACGAAAAATACTAAACTGATAATCTATGACAAATTTATCTCAAATTAAATTTTTTATCACAAAAAACTCTAAAATTGCACACTTGTGACAAATCATAAAACTTGTCATGAAAGTGTAATGGAGTCCTAAAACTTTCAAAAAAAATACAATTAAATCCTAAAACTTATCGCGAAAGTGCTTATCGCGAAAGTGCAATGGAATCCTAAAAACTTTCAAAAAGTAATCAAGTCCTAAAATTTGTAAAATTGGTCCAATCAAGTTCTATTGTTGATCGCACATTTTGAAAGTTTTGGTACTCAATTGTACTTTCGTAATAAATTTTAGAACTTTGTTACACTTTCTGAAAGTTTTAAAACTCGATTATACTTTCGTGATAAATTTTAAAATTTTTAGTACGCTTATCATAAAAAAAAAAAGATTTGCTCAACCACGGAAAAGCCGATGGAACAAAAAAATGACGCACTTTGAGATAAGCATAAAGCCTGGGGCAAGCGATGCAAGCCACACGAAAGCGAGTGCCCGAACAGAGAGCGAGGACCTCATTGGCCACGGTCTCGGCCGTCCCGCAATCGTAGCAGAACTGGCTCAGCCTCCAATCCTCCGTCACCAGAGCCACCTCCGGCTGGTCCGCCGGTGACTGGTTCTGCTTGCAGTGGAATTCCTGGGGAGCCACGAGGGCTTTAGAGCTGAGCATCGGTGCTTCGTCGTCGTTGGCGTTGTCGACGTCGGCGTTGTGATTTGCGAGTTCTTCCATGGCTGGGAAAGGGATGGTGATGCGAGGACCGCGGGCGGGGTCAAGTAGCTGCAACACTAATATCCATAGAAGGCGCACTCCTCTTAATTTCCTTTTTTCTTAATTTATTGTTCTGCATTTTCTAAATTCTTAAGTGAAAATTGGGTGAACAATTTTTTGCTGTCTTCAAATTTACGAGTCTCGTAATTTAAATTTTATTTGATTCGAAATACTTAAATATATTCATGTAGAGATACATATATATAACACACATCATTTTCTTTTTTGAAGTTTTAAATTGTTCTCAATAAAATCATGATTTGCTTTTATAAGATAAAGCCAAAGGTGGAACAGCAAAGACTCCAAATAATTTTGTAATCTCAGTCTTCAATCCCTTATGAATCTTAAATTATCGGAAAATTCAAGGACACATTTTCATTCGGTTAATCACAAAATGAGACGAAAGGTAAAATCACGAAAAATGATAATATATTGAACACGTAGAAAGTGGGAAAAGCCGAAAGAGATCCAGATGATGAACTCGGTGCTCCATTTTTTAACAACGAATTCTGATCCCATTGCGCCTTATACGCATCAATAAACCATGGACCACACATTCGCTTGACATTAACTGCAAGAACCGAGCAGCCGTCCCTGGAAATGAACAACCATGAGATTGATTATGATTGATTATGATGAGCTTAACATCATCTGCCAGAGAAGGTGGCGAAAATGAATGGGCAGTTTGCACCATCGATGAGTACTTGCTTCAATCACACGCCATCTTACTGAGAGCAATCGGGTATGATGCGAAACAGGATTCTCGCTATTAGAAAATGTTTCGTACCATTGACAGCAAGACCTAATCTGTGCAGTTACATGGTGGAACAAGCTTTTCATAGAAATGTTTCTTGTTTTCAATTTTTATCTCAGAGGTCTCCGTCACTCCCATCAAGCATAGTTCTTTTCCACCCAACCAAGTTCCAAGTTTCAATCTCTTGGCTACTAGCCTGCTTGCGTGCTTGCTATGATACTCCGCGATCTCTGTAAGTTTTCTGAAGCCAGGGGACGATAGGCTAAATGGAAGTTCGAAATAATGCTGCGCAATTGAGGAACAGCAAGAAGTTCCAAATCTCGATAGAAGTTGCACCATCAAAATCTTTTGGAAATGAAATCATAAAGACAAAGGAAACGTCCAGCAACTCGTAGCATCAAATAAAGCTACAAGTCATTGCGATCAGCTAAAATATAACAAGAACAGGGAAGAATAAGGAAGATATAGCCTGTAAGATCCCTTCCACAAAAAGCAATGGAATCACCAACCAGGAGTCTCGCTATTAGAGAAAGCCTCTGCTAGACTGCAACCATCTCCACAGCAACGTCTGGAGGCATAACCATCGACAAGCTATCAATTGGATCTTTGTCTAAGTTTCAACATGTGGAGGATGATCTCATCCGTGTATCGTCTGGATCACACTCGATGTAAAGAAGAGGTTTAGAACAAGAAAATCGGAAACAAAGAATGAACCAAATGCAAGCATTAAGGCAAAAGTCGTACCATTCATCAACCTAGGGTTAAGTTTGCAGAGAAAATGCAAATACTATGTCTCACTTGATTTTAGGGTCATGCCTCCAGGCAAACTGGTTAGTCCATGACATCCCTTTTGACATGAAAAACAACACTAACAAATAAAATTCACATCAAAAGAAGCATTATCTATTTCTGTTGCTCCCATCCTCCCAATCGCATCCCCGGATCGTAGTTAGTGAATAGACAAAACTCATTACCGAGCTTGCTCGAATGCTTAGGCCGGAATATGCATGGATGCAAATCAAGTAGTTATGCAGCTCCATCTTTTTTAACTTCTCCTGCAAGCATCTCAGAATTTGCCAGCATTAGGAAGGAATATAAAGCATCCAGCATACTCCAAAAAGGGGGAAAAAGCAACTGCAGCAGTTCATAGCTATAATGTCACTGCAAATGAAAGACAACAAACCAAGAACTTAGGTTAAAGGTTCCACGGGAGGACTAAAAGTCGATACATACCTGTAAGTAAAAGCAAGTAATCTGTCTCTCGGCAACTATTTTCTCCTTCAACAGAGGTTCTCCTACTCAATTCCCTCGCAATTAATTATCTGCAGCTCTCTCAATGTGGCGATGCGGTGAATGCCGTCTGGTAAAGAGGATAATCTGGGACAGTCTTCAATCTTCAGTGATCTCAGAGAAGAACTATTTTGCAGCCATTCGGGCAATGCACTCAAGTTGGGACAATTCTCAATTGTTATCATCTGCAGTGTACTTGCAGAACCTTCAAGCCACCCGGGGAAAGAAACTAGTTCCGGTAATTCCTCGAGTCTCAAGTAACGAAGCATCAACATGGAGTGTTCTTCATTACTTTCACTTTCGGGCAGCTTCAAGCTTATGCAGTCGCAAATCGAGAGTTCCTCCAATGCCATCAATTTTTTTAAGCCTTATGGTAAGGAGGCCAACTTCGGACAACATCCAATGAACAACGAACGAAGAAACATGAGCGAATTGATATCATCGAACAAGGCCTCCAAAAACATGCAGTCTTGTATGGATAGTGACCGCAGAGAGGTCAAGCATCCTATTCCATTCTCCGGGAAACGCTGCTGTTGCGTGGTTATAGACAAAGTGCGGAGGCTGACCATGTTCTTGATGTTTGCAGGCAATTCCTCGAGTTCTATGCACCCAGCAAGACGTAATTCATACAGATTGCGAAGCTCGCAGACCGATTCGGGGAGTTTCTTGATATGAAAGTTGTTTAATAAACTAAGTAACCTCAATTGCTTTAGACCACCAATGGAACTAGGCAGTCGGTCAAAATAACCCCGATTTGTCCATAGCACTCGCAAGTGCTTGAGTTGTGAAAGGCTTGCCTCCGAAAATAACCCCTAAATGGTACCAGTATCTAAAGAGATGGTACGAACTTGCCTGAGTTTGCTCAACTGGCCGCGTATATCGTTATTTGAAGAACAAACTGGGGGTCCAAAAGATACATGCCGAATCGTCGGGGTTATATCCTGTGCTGTGACCACTTGCAATATGGACCATTCGGTTCGTGCCACCGAAATGGCAAGTTTGTAAACGAGATTGTGCATTCTGATAGACAGCGGTGGAAACGTTTCCACACTAACTTCAAAGAAGGACCTTGAACACAGCTCCATCATGTACTGCCATCCAATCTCTTCCAGCTCCCAATTATCTCCTCTGGACTAGATAAGCCCATTCGAGATCCACAGTGAGATCAGATCATTGCTGCTGATAACGCAGTTCTGCAGGAATATTGAGCAATAAGCGAAACATTGTTTCAAGTATGACGGCATTAGATCGTAGCTTATTCTCAGTGAAGGTAAAATATCAGTTTGTAGTTGCCACATCTCACTATCTCTTACATATGCCCAGTCGGTTTTGTTGTATTTTGAATACAACAAGCTTCCCAAACTCTTCACTGCAAGAGGATTTCCCCAACACTTTTTCACGATGGCATTGGCGATTTCCATAAGGTCCGGGTGATTCTTCTCTTGCTCTTGATCGAATGCACACTTCACGAACAAAGTAAAAGAATCATTCCACGAAAGTCCGGTCAAATTAAGCGGGCGGACAGAACCCATGATTGAGGCGACCGACATATTCCGTGAAGTCACAATGACTTTACTACCCTCGGAAGCACCTCGTAACAAATTTCTAAATTCCACCCAATCCTCCCGCCTCACTTCCCACACATTGTCCATTACAAACAGACACCTTTTGTTCCACATGATGCTTCTCAGGATATGTTGCAGCATTTCCAGCCCATCATCTTTGTTTTTGTGACCCAAAGACTTGAGGATGCGTCTTATTATGTTCTCAGTTTCGAATCCTAATGGCATGGATAACCAAACTTTGAGATCAACATATCTGTTTACCCAATCGTCATTGTACACCAATTGAGTAAGAACTGTCTTTCCAATACCTCCCATTCCAAGAATCGAAATGACTCCTATCATTCCAACCCCACCATCATTTGATCTTCTTAATAGCTCTAATATCATTTCCTTTTCTTCATTTCTGCCAATAATATCTAAAGGGGTCACAAAAGAATGGGTTTCTCTCCATGGAACTATAATCTTGTCATGAACATCCCCTGACAAGTTGAACTGACTTTTCTCTTCGTTGATCCCATCAAGTCTCTTTCTCAGTTCTTTCATATTATGTGCTATCTTAAACTGGAAAATGAAATTAGATATCCACGAGAACAAGTAGCTTACTTTCCTTTTGAGGGTCAAGTGCTCGGTAGACCTCACCCGCCTCTCCAAAGCCCTGGCTTCGAAATCGTCCAGCACGTCCTCGGCATCATAGCAGAAGTCTTTAAGCTTCGACAGCCAAATGCTAACGGCTTCATCTTTAGTTTGCCTCTGTTCAGCATCAGCGAGCACCCTCTAGATCGTCTCTAGCGTGTTCTTGAGCTTCTCTCGATCATCCTTGACGCCACATACCAATTCAAGTTCTTCAACAGCCGATGAAGCTAGTTTCTCCAAAAGAGGTTTAAGGATGCCAGATACAACTGCACTCGTCATGGTTTGGCTTAACCACTGTGCAGGAAATAAACTTGTTATCAGACAGATAGCGAAAGACACATGGTGCGAAAAATGAACACCATAAGAGCGTTAAAAACACTGCAATATAACGAAAATCACACAAAACCGAACTTCAACACAAGAAATTACGAGAAAAATCAAGCGGAACGCAAAAGAAACCTCTAAATCCATCCGAAACAGAGCATGACAAAACCAAAGACACGAGTGACGAGCGTGGACGATGAAGACCAGGAGATGTAATATTCAAAACGACAAAAGTGAAATGGTAAATCATACTGACCCAGACCAAAAGCTCTCCCTGCGTCGAGATCTCTTGAAAATGTTCGAGACAATGGCTGGCCTCGGGATCACAATGGCTGGACTAGCAGGAGAGAAAGGGGGAGAGAGAGAACCCTAGCAGTCAGAGCGAACCGAACAACAGGCGAGGCGAGGCGGCGAGGCGAGGCGGCGAGGCGATGTGGCGAGGCCAGGCGGCGAGGCAAGCGGCGAGGCCAGGCGGCGAGGCAGGCGGCGAGGCAGGCGACGAGGCAGGCGGCGAGGCCAGACGGCGAGGTGATGCGGCAAGGCCAGGCGGCGAGGCAAGCGGCGAGACGATGCGGCGAGGCGATGCGGTGAGGCCAGGCGGCGAGGCCAGGCGGCGAGGCGATGCGGCGAGGCCAGGCGGCGAGGCGATGCTGCGAGGCAGGCGGCGAGGCCAGGCGGCGAGGCAGGTGGCGAGACGACCGAGGGAGGCCGGCGAGCGAGGCGAAAGGTGAGGGTAGCGAGGCGAGGCGGCGAGGCAGCGAGGCGACCGAGGGAGGCCGGCGAGCGAAGCGAGTGAGGTGAAAGCGTGAGGGTCCAGATTGTTCGGAGACTCTGCGTCTTTATTTGTTTTGTTTTTTCGGTTTAAAGTTTGTTAATTAGTTAGGGTTTTCAAACATGTAGATGCCAAAATACTATTGAGAAATATAATATTAAATAAATAAGTATTTTTTTTTCTTACGGACGTGTAATTTTTGCCTATAAATAGGTGTTGTGTCACATATGTAGTACAATTCTCCCACAAATTACATATGGATTTATCATTTTTATTGTATAATCACAGGTAATTTAAATTTTTCTTTCAATATGTTGTGCCTTTACATTCTCGTAACATAAATTCAACGTAGTCAAAATCCTCATTTCATGCTCGTACTATTATCACCTTTGGGAACCCATGATTGAGTGCCTATTTTATACCTCAACTTTAAGACCCGAGATCGAGTTCTTGTTCCCTTCTAGATCCTCAGTCATCTATTTAACGGACATGGACTACATTGCATACAAGTTTCGATTTGGCAAAGTCATCCGACAAACAACGAGACACCTAGAATTTTCAATCCATGTAATTTTGGCGCAATCAAAACGGCACGCCTGGAGGTTGAATGTGGAACGCCAATTTCGGAGTAATCACTAAAGCATGGGAAGAAGACCCCGTAATAGAAATTCCAGTCAACGAGATTCTCCAAACGCCGGTCATTGTCTCGAAAGATTAATGGGTGATGGGCATGAAGAATATGGACACTTCCCCGTGATCTCCCACCCTAGACTCACTCTGCAATCACTTGGTAATACATCTTAAATTCAAACTGGTTTAAACCCCAACTTCTTGCTCGAGATGCCATTGCCTTCAAGAACTTGGGATTGATCTAGAGCTGGATTTGAAGACCCGATATCGAGTTCGTGTTCCTTTCTAGATATCTGGTCTTCTGTTTAACACGAAAGTGCTTCGAAGTTTTTGATTAAGTGAAGTCAAGCCACAATCAACATGGAATTCCCAGCATTTTCATTTGGCCCGAATTAGTATTAGGGACCCAATCTCTAAGTTTTTCTTTTCTCGAGTAAGCATTATCCAAAAACATAAACTTTAATCCAGTCATTCTTACGTTGCTCTGTATCACCAATTTGAATTAGTTTTATAACCTTAAAAATTCAGAATAGTAGCAAGTGGACCCCAACAAGTCACCGTATGCATATATATCCAACGACTATCTCGTAAAAAGTCCTCATCATATAATAATTCGATTTTCCAAAATCCATATGTGTGTACCATTTTTGCTAGGATCACTAATACTTTTTGAAAAAAAAAATCCACAAGTTCACATCCATTTCCTCATCAAGAAAACCTAAATGACAGAAAAGTTCTAACTCATATTTGATTTCCCATAAATTACTATATATAAAAAATTTAAATTAATTACTTTTATAAATGACTATAAATGAGAGAAAATCTCCTCCTTACTCCAATGTTCTCGTAATGCACAAAATATAAAACATCTTAAAATGGTTTTTTATGCCAATTTTAGCGATAATCTAACGAAGCAAGTGGTGAGCTTGACTTGATATAAATGACATAAAATCTCTTCCTTGCTCAAATTTTCTCTCAACGCAAATATTAAGTGCCTGAAAATGGCTTTTTTCTTTACCAATTTTGACGATAATCTAATGAAGAAAGTAGTGGGCTTGACTTGCTATAAAGAAGAGCAAATCTCCTCCTTGCTCCCATTTTCTCGTAATGCACAAAATATAAAATGTCTTAAATTTGTTTTTTTATGCCAATTTTGGCGATAATCTAATAAAGCAAGTGGTGGGCTTTTTTGTTCAGAATCAAACTCCTTTCATAACTTCAAGTGGGTTCGGCATTACAAAAGATATGGGCCCCGGAACAGATGAGGTCCCATAAATTTCTTGGAAGATTAAAAACCCAATGAGGAATGCATCAGCTGTTACCGCCTTCGAAGCATGAACACTCCTTGATGAAGTCATATGAGGATATTTGCTTACTTTGATTCGAACTTATGTCCTTATTGCGAAGTAAAATATGATCGTGTGACGATACTTAGTGAAATATTGCTCCACTCTTTATGTCTTTACTGTACTTTGGTTCGTGGAGAAATAATTGCTCAATTGATCCATATAACTAACATAACTCAAGAACTTTATTTGGAAACAACGTAAGAATAACTCCCATGAACTTTTTCTAAAAATGATTTTTTTACATCCCTTAGACTAATTGGTCACCAAAAAATATTTTCATTATCAACACTAGTACTATGCCTAGACATATTCGTCTGATAAAAACAACTTTCATTAAAGATGCAAGCGAACATTTTTTGAAAAATATTTTTCAAATCATTGATTTTTCACGAAACAAATGCATTAGTCTGCAAGAAATTCACTATTTAAAAAGGGGCTTTTTATATGTTAGAGACTACTTCAGGTTAAGTATACATAATAACAAATGTTTGAATTTTTCATACATCGATTACACATACCGTGAGTTAAGTAATTTCGTAATTTAATGTTCTGTGATTGCTTAATTAGTGTCTCAAGGCACTCATTAATAAAATGTAACTTATAAATATCCTTCAAATTTAGCTCGATTGAATGTATCACGATATAAATTCAATGATAATAAGAGCAAATATCACATTCATACAAGAATGAAAATTTGATAACTAAAACTTCAACTTTAATTATGTTTACATTGTCAAAGTGAATATATCGGGTTGGTTTTTAAGTTTGACTTTTTCATTGTTACTTTTAGTCAGACCAATTTTGTTTTTCAAACAAAATGCATCGGGGGTCAAAACATAGAATTTACTAATTTGGGGTTTCAAATTAGTCCATGCGTAGAATATTTATGGTAAGAACAAAGACTTTTGCAATTTGAGTGGGGGCAATGGTGAGGCCAATTTTATTGTTAAAAAAAACTTAATGGGGCCAAAATATTGAAATTAGGGCGGGGGGAGCGGGGTCAAATTAACCTATACTTTTATTAATTATGCTAATTAATAAAATATTTACAGTGAAATGCCCCCCACTCTTCGTAAAGTGGTTGTAACGCCCCCACCTTGGGGTCGTTAACGTGACATCCCGTTCATTATTATCTTTTTTTACACACAAGTGGAAGCATAATTTTGTGACAATCACATTCAGAACAACAGAGGAATTTAGACAAATAGCATCATAAGCAAATCTTATGTTTACCGTGCATGCAAACATGTTTTAACAAGCCCTTCGGGCCATGGCAAACATCACATATTTTACATGTATATTCTAGAGGCTCATCCGTTCCTAGCCGACTATGAATAGTAAAACTCGGCTTGGGTGATCTTGTCTCCTCTACATCATCTTCTCGCTTCTAACTCTATCCACATCTCCTCCCCGCTTCCCGTCCGCATGGCCGATCTACACCCCACCCGTGGCATGCCCCGGAGCTGGCCCGCCTACACCGCCAAAAGGTCTATTGAACCCACATAGGGGTACTACCCATTCTCCGTCAGTGTAGCCATGCCATGCTACGTACGGGTGAGGCACCAAGTCCGTTAGGCCCTCATTGACCATCACACACGTCGTGATCCGACGGTAGGCTCGGCCTTCTCGGGCATCTATCACGGTGAGCACTTCGGCTCTCATTTCCACGGGGTTGCCGAACCGAGTTAGGGGAGACGCCATTCTTCGGACCTGAAAAGGAAATAACAGAGGATGAGTCAAGGAGACTCAACAAGTAAACCTACTAATATCGAGCGAGGACGGGGGGATCACCATTAACATAAGTCGGCTCTTACCGTACCCGCATCAATGGCAGATCAATAGCAAAGTTCATACACGAAAACATCAAGCATTGCTATAACATGTGCACCTTGCCATTCAAGTCTCGGTTCTATCTCCAAAACAAACGTCAAACACAAAACATGATTAAATCGAGAAATGAACCAACTACAACCAACCAAACGACCGAGAAACGATCCAAGCAAACCGTATCACAACTTCCTTTCCCGAAAGTAAGAAGTTTACTTACACTGTGAAATAAAACTAGGACAAGAAAGGAACACGGGAGTCTCGAATGATTCTTGGTGTGTGGCTTGAACACTATCACACGACCCTTGAACGTGGACTTTATGTGGCTGAACACTAGAGAGCTATGGCGGGTTGGTGCAGTCCTTCCTCTCCCCCTCTCTCTATTTGGCGTGAACAAGAAGCAAGGAAGCAAGAAGCAAGATGGTGATGGTGTGAGAATGAAGAGGAAATGGCGTGAGAGAGGAGGGCTTCACGTGAGACTCTCTCTCTCTCTCTTTCTCCCTATTTATAGAAGTTCTTTCTTACTCCCTACTCAAGGCCATTAATGCATGTCATGATGATAGTGCCTCCAAAGTCCAGCTAATTAAGGCTTGTCATCATGAATGGGGCTTCTAAGTCAAGGGCCATTTAATGGCATTAATGAACCTTAATGATGGAAGCTTGAAGGAGAAGCTTTGATCATGTCAAAGCCTTATCTTCTATCCTCTTCTAAACTTTTCTAGATCGTGAAAACCGTGGACTCCTTGGAGCCTTCTGGATTTGCTGGTTTCTTGCGTAATTGATTCGGGCCAATCGGGTCACACGAAATAGACTCATTGGCACTAAAATCACAACCCGCATCATGCTTAGTTCTCAAGATTTTCCGAGGGTTTACCGCGACAAAACACGTATAACAATC